GCCTTCCCCAAGACGGGCCGGCACCGGCTGCAGTTCCTCCTGCAGAGCGCGAGGGACCTGAGGGAGACGCTGCAGACGAGGGGAAGGTAGTGGAGCCCGTCGCGTGCACAGTGAGTCCCGTTTTCTTTTCCTTCTGCTTTTCCATGCACATCTACACTCCAGTCAATCCTGGTGGATGCTCCGGGCTCTGATGATGGCCCGTCCCAAAGAGCAACAAACCTTCCCGTGTCAGGCTCTCCCTGGACCACTCTTCAGGCTGCCACTTGCCCTTCAGGCCTTTGCTTTCTTGGCTTGGACACTACAGATGGTTTCCACCTTGCGTGTTTTTCATGCAAAATTTGAGCATTTGTCCTGCGAAATGATAACTACACCAGCTGCTGTTGTGTCCTCCCTTCTATACCCTCCCTCCTCGGAAGGGTTTCCCTAGGAGTTGGCTTCAAGCCTGAGGCAAGCCAGCATGGACCCAGGGTTGCGAGACTAGAGAGTTTGGTTTGTTCAACCTGTCCCACTAGAGATATCCTCTTCAATGGGCTATGCTACGGGACGGGGACCTTCAAGGATTCCCCTTTCACTATGCCCTGGAAAAACTCCAGGAGTCATAACTGGGTAGACCAAGACCTGGGAGTTTGCTCTGGCAGAAACTCTTCATGACCCTCTCCAGCAGCTTCTTCAGGACAGATCTCTGTTGTATTACACCATGGTTTGTGTGTGTGGGCGTCTATACGACTAAACAACAACAGTACCACACTTAATTCAGACTAATCTTTTGTGTTTGCAGTACGCTGGTCGTGAGGAAAGGGAAGCCGGAAGATGTGGTCCATGATCTAATTACTCAGCTGGGCTCCGTGAGTGTTGTGGTTTTCCATGAAGAGGTAAAGATTTGAGTGACACTGCTTAAGGACAGAATTGGTGAGGTTTTTTCCACAAGCAACATGCTGGTTTTGTACATTGTGCAGAGCTTTTCTCATGTGTGGCATTGGTAAATGGGGGAACCAGACAGTACCCAGAATGAGAGTTGTGTAGGTGACTGTCCTTGCTGGATGACAGCAGCTCTTTGTCAATGATCACTTGCAAGTGCCGTGCTTTGAGAAAGGAGGAAGAGAAGTTTGTGGCAGCTGGCATTTTGGATCAGGAGACCAGAGCCTATTTCTCCTCCAGTTTGCCGCAAGATGCTTTTTCTTGGCTTCTTCTCTGGAGTGGGAACCAGTTGCTAGGAAGCGAATTGTATCATGACTAGAAAAGGCCATCACCTGTATTTAAGCAGCTGTCCACCAGTACCTGGAAACAGGAGGCCAGTTCCTGGCTGCAGGGCATTGGGCTTGTCCCTGACCTGTCTTTGTTGAGCTGAGGTAGTGGTTTGCCTGATCCAGAGCCTGTTGAATTCAGTGGAGGGTTTTGGATCCAAACCAAAAGGCCAAAAAGGCTATGTGCACAAAAACAGCAGCATAAACACACACACAAACACACACACACACAAGTGTATTATAAAATGAATACCCTCATACCCTCAGTGTTATCAGAGCCTGAACCTGAGAGCAGAGTGTGAGGCAGGAAGCACTCTATGACCTGCACACCAAGCACCCCTCTTGTCACAGCTAAGACCAAGCAACCTACACATCCTATAGTGCCTTGCTACATGCAATATGGGATGTTGGTGTAAGAACAGCTATATGAGGTTAGAAAAAAAAGGCCTTCTAACTCCCTAGTCTTTTTCCTGACAGTGGCCAATAACAGGCACTCAAAGAAGACTATAAAAGCAAGGTAAGTCTGCAAGGATACTTCCTCTGAATACTCTCCCGCCTTCCAAGAAGGTGGAGCTCAAAGACTGCTTGAGGAAGAGATGGTGTCTTAATAATCAATACGCCTCAATTTACTTCTTTTCCATATATTTGTCTGGTCACTTTTCCAATTCATGTAAACTTCTAACATCCGGAGTGTCACACCGCAAGGATTTCCACAAGCTTTCACTGCATACTGGATAGTGAAACAGCCTCTCATAATTTTGAATTTCCTCTTAGTAGCATTGATTTTTTTTCATCTGTCTCTTTTTAGAGAGTCTGGTCTCACTTATCTGCTTTACATGGGTGCCTGTGGTTGGTGGAAAGTATTCCAGGACATCTTGTCAGCTCCCTTTCCACGTCTCCCTCCGATTCTAGTGTCAAGACTAGCAGTAGAGAGTTCAAACACTAGTTGGATTTGGCAGAGGAGATTGTTTGCATGCAGCTGTCTTGATGGGTGAAGGTAAATGTGGAGATGAGGGAGGACAGGACCAGGATCTGTGAGTTTGGATCAGGAGCGATATGTTTGCATGAGGGAGCTGAGGCCATGCAGCCAGGTCTTGCCGTGTCTTGTTCTTCTTAGGCTACGAAGGAGGAGCTGGATGTAGAGAAGGGGCTGTTCCAGGTGTGTGGTCAGCATGGAGTGAAAATCCAGATGTTCTGGGGATCCACACTGTATCACCGGGATGACCTCCCCTTCAAGCCTCTCACCAGGTAGGATGCTCCGTGATACCCCTCACTCCTACCTCATTTGTTGCTTATTGCACTGAACTGCTCAGGGTGGATGTAGCCATCCAATTCCACTGGGAAAGGACTGTAGTGCTGTTGTGCTGTTTTTTACATCAAGCGGAAGAGGCAAGTTCATTCCTCTCTACCAAGAGCATTTGCTCGTCAATTTGTGTTGAGTGACTTGTTTGACACTTTGTTCTCCTCCTTCCACCAACACAGTTTGGATACTCAGTCTGCAGTGTCCTGAAACCCTGTGGCTTTAGACTGGATTGCTCTTTTGCCCCATGGCAAGCTCCGTGGCCCCATGGCTACACGTAGGTGTCTATGGAAATAGACCTCTGTATGTGGACTCTTCACCCTTGGCTCCTGCAGTAATCATTGGTGATCTAGTTGGTGGAATTGAGTGATTCATGTTATCTTATAGAGAATCCACAAAACAGAACAGAAGGATCGGGGCATAAAAACGCCTGTATTTTCCCTATTAACTGTAAAGAAACTGGTGCTGTGTGGAGGGACCAGGATAGCCTTCCCCCCGGAGGTCTGATGGCCCTGTTAACTCTGCAGACTGCCTGATGTCTACACTCAGTTTCGAAAAGTCGTGGAAACCGAGGCAAAGGTTTGGCCAACACTCCGCATGGCAGATCAGCTCGAGCCTCTGCCTCCAGGGGTAGAAGAAGCATGTATCCCTACAATGGAGGATTTGGGACAGAAGGGTAAGAAAGCTTAATTTGGCAGTTGCCCCATGAAATATCTACTGAGAGATGTCTCCTACTGAGCATCAGAGGCCCTCCAAGACAGTGAGAGCCCTTCAAACTGTAACTCAGTGTCTGTTTGCTCATACATTAAATCAAAACGTTGGCAGGTTGAAGGTAAAGTCCCTGCATGGAGAAGCTGGGGTAGCAAGCCCTGTAGCAGAGTGGAAAATATCCTTTTAATCAGTAATTTTGAACGTGTTTGAGGTGGCCCTTTGTGTTTCCAGGCATCACTGGGCACAATCATTTATTTTCCCAAAGCCCTAATGATGAACTCGTCTGGTTTTTATGCTCCCTGCCTTAGAGCTGCTTCCGAGAGCTGATTTTTCTTGCTAACAAGCTGATGTTTCTTTTCTATGGCAGATTTTGTAACTGATCCACGAACAGCAATTCCCTGCAGTGGAGGAGAGACTCGGGCGTTAATGAGACTGCAGTATTATTTTTGGGACACGGTAACTCATACATTTCCTTGTCTGCATCCTCCCCTATGTACATACGGCTATGCAAATGGGTGAGGCTGCAATTTCATTTCCTACAAAAATTTCCTTAGCTCCTGTATAGCACTTTACAAAGGAGAGAATTAGCCTGATATTAGTTTTTCAGAAAGAGAAACAAAGAAGAAGTCATCCAAGCACCAGGATTATAATTTAAGCATTTGGGAACCCAATTTATTGGCCAACAGACTTAACACTTTTTTTTTCCTCCACCAGCTTTTGGGAATCGGGACCGTCTTTGGGCTCCTTTACCTAGATTTGTCCTTTCTTCTCTAGGATTATAATTTAAGCATTTGGGAACCTAAAGTATTGGCCCTCCCAAAGGTCAGCAGCAGTTTAGCTCCTCCCTAGAGGGACCACTAGCAGTTGTAACCTGTGCAGCCAAGAGCATCAGGGAGACATCAGGCGTCCCTATATTGCCCTTTGCATTGGCAGTGGGGTGTCCAGAGCATCTGGACATCCCAGCGACCCGGATTGCTGCAGCTGAGTGCCAGGCGCTGCAGGACACAGCGGTGGCCACGGGCGCCAGCCCCAGCAAGCGGTGCCTCTAAGTGGGTTTTTGATCCAGAGTGAGATCTGTGCAGGCAGGGAGCAGCCCGGCCAGCCTCGTGGTCCTTGTAGGAACCCATGTGCCCCATGGCTAGTGACACACATCCCCCAGCTAAAAGGAAAACTGCCGCTGAATTCCAGGGTGCTGGAGTTTGGCAGCCCTGTAATCCCTGCAGGCAGCCATGAGAGGGAGCCTCCCTCTGCCAAATTGGTCTGGCTGCCATGAGAGCACGAGAGAAAGCCCCTTCTCCAGCTATGTTCACTGCTAACATCTTCCCTCCTCGCTCCTCGCACAGAACCTGGTGGCCTCTTACAAGGGGACACAGAACGGACTGATAGGAGCGGATTATTCAACCACATTTGCGCCATGGTAATGATCACTGTTGTGAGACTTCAAGTGTTCTCTCTCCACCCCCTTCAAATTGATGTTACCTGTTAGCTGAACACTTGTGTGACAAGGGAGACGCTCTAAGTCCCATCCCTGGCATTTTCTCTGGGTAGAGCAGTCTCAGAGTCACTATTCACTGCACTCTCAGCCAGGGGTTCCTTAGGATTTTTTAAGCACAGCAATGCTGTGCCAAGTGCCCAGCGTGCTGTGCTCGGGGATGTGGACAGGGCACTGGAGAGACATGAGACTCGTCTATGACTTGGTGCTGCTTTTTGTGTATCAAGAGCAGCTCAGAGCAGGCAGGGACAAAGTGAGGCTTTGCAAGCAGCAGAACTAAATTTGGTCCCGGCTTGCTGAATACTTTGGGCCAACTCAACTTGTCTTGCTGCTATTGCGTTTTTCTGTGGAAATGCAGAGCTGCTTCTGATATTATTATTGCAAAAGGAGCTTTTTTGATGAGTCTGATGACTTCTAATTAGGGGCTTTAATCTCCAGCAATGGAAAGAATTAATTCCAGACTGAACCTGCTGCAGCAGAACTCACTTTACCCTAGTGCTGAGAGCATCTGCAGCTTTTCCCTTACAGAATTAAGATGTGTGGGTTTTATTTTTTATTTTTATTTTTCTCTAGGACTGCTACTGGTCAGGATTTCCTATTTTCAAGCTTCCTGCGTTTTGGTGTCTGCAGTGGATGGCTCCACCTGGTGGCACTTGAGGTCCCAGGAGCGCCAGCACTGAGGAACTTCTTTATCTGTGGTGGCCTCCGCTCCCCCTTTTCCAGCATGGTCATTTATTTGCCCAGCGCAAACAGAATCACAGAATCCCAGAATGGTTGAGGTTGGAAGAGACCTCTAGAGATCATCTAGTCCAACCCCCTGCTCCAGCAGGGACACCCAGAGCACGGGGCACAGGGTGGCATCCAGGCGGGTTTGAAGATCTCCAGAGAAGGAGACTCCACAGCCTCTCTGGGCAGCCTGTGCCAGGGCTCTGACACCCTCACAGGAAAGAAACTCTTCCTCACATGGAGATGGAACTGCCTGTGTTTCGATGTGTATCCATTACTACTTGTTCTGTCGCTGGCCACCAGCCCTGATGTGTCTGTGTCCAAGTGTTCTTCTGTGAGAGGACCAAGAGCTACTCAGGTTGCAAACAAATATCAGAGCTACTCAGGTTGCAAACAGTCATTCACGTCTCACACTGGCCATTTCTACATGTTAGAGCTTGTCGACAGTTACGGAAGGGCTTTTCAGACCCCTTCTTTTTTTTTCCAAAATCCATCAGAACATTAAATGTTTCTGTGAGCTGTTCTGAGGAGTTACATTAAAATACATTTTGGGAAAATCAGGGTTATTTCTTGCTTTTCCCCTTTCCTGCCTTTCCTAACCCGTCTGAGATTTTCAGCAAGTCCTTTGCCTTCTGTCAGCCATGGTTGTTCTGATGAGATGCTCAGGTGCTGCATGATAAATGGGCTTGCAGTATAAGGGAAGACATACAACAGGTTAAGCAGAAAATGGAGGAGTTGAAATCTGGGGTCCCTTTGTGGGTTTTGGTGCGGTGACTAACATGAGAAAGTCTTTCAGGCAAAAGCTGGCACACTTCTGTAAAAGTTTGCTACTCTTGGTAGCTTGGGGACTACCATAACATTCATCTAAGGCAGGAAGGAAGGACGGGGATTTTGTTTTCGCTTGCAGTTGCAGAAACACCATATGACTTTACAGAAGACATTAGGAGTCCGTGGCAGAACCGGAGACTTTCATGTAGCAACTCTAAGCCCAAAACTGCCCCTGTGCTCCCTCTCTGCAGCTGTCTGTCCCTTACTGCATTTTAACCATCTCCCTCCCGCTTCCAGGCTGGCCTTGGGCTGCATTTCACCACGCTACATCTACGAGCAGATCCAGAAGCACGAGAGGGACAGAATAGCAAATCAGAGCACATACTGGTACGGCCCTGCATAATCACCCTGGCTTATTTCCTCTGAAAAGCAAACTGGCATCTCATGCACAGGACAGAGTGATTTATTAATTATCTCCGTAATTAATGGAGGTTTTCCTGTGCCTGCTGTCTGGTTTCTCTAGGCTGCATTGCACTTCTGCTTCAGTATGGATTTATTAGCCCGCTTTTGGCATCCAGAGCTTTAGGCACTTTATAAATCAAGATTATTAGTGCTAGTTGTCTTTACCATTGCTGGGAAATTGTGGTTCATAGTTTTTAATATTGATCTGTCTAAATCAGCAACATGCCTCTCTGCATCATTATAACGAGATAGATAAGAAGGGGGAAAAATGACTTGCAGATGAAATCCAAAGGATTTCCCATCACTGTGATGTGAGCAGAATTTCACCCAAAATTTAGCATCTCAGCAATGGTGTGACTTGTGCAAACTGCAGCGTGTCAGAAGTGCCACCATTCCTTTTAATAAAAATTGTGTAAGTCTGCCTGTTCTGTGCAGGTCTATCAGCTGATCTCATGGGCAAGGGCACTGTAAACCCAGGTCTGAAAAATGCCTTTAAGTCCCTTGCAGAGGGTATTGCTTCTGTCCACATGGAGCTGCTAGGAATGCGCTGACACGCTTGCTGGGTTGGAAGTGCAAAGCTGAATGGGGCCCCCACCCTGCACTTCACAGAATTATATCCCAGGAGGGATGGATCAGAAAGTTTTCCTGACATTCTGCTCTCGCCCTAGAGCTGAGGGAATGATCGCTGTGAATTTGCTTTTTGCCATAGTTCTCCAAGTGCGAGCAAGATTAACGGGTCTGAATACCCCACCTCTGTGTTGTAGGGTCCTCTTCGAGCTGCTCTGGCGGGATTACTTCTGATTTGTGGCCCTGAAGTATGGCAGAAGGATTTTCTCACCAAGAGGTGCATGAGGATCGCTGTTTTTGCAGGGGGAAGGGGCAGCCATACAACAAGGGAAGGAAGAGAAGAGCCTGTGAGTGTCATGTTGTACCAACACTCTCCTCATAGCACTCACGTTACTGCCTTACGATGGTTCCGTGTTGGAGCGGCAGGGAAATGTGAATTATGTTATCAAGTATCCTGAAGGTGAGTTTATTTGGGTATCCAGCCCGAATATCCAGTCAGGGAGCCTTGCAGCCATGTTGGGCCGATGCTGTCCATGTGATTTAGCTGCCCACAGTCAAATATATAGCATTTTTCCTGGCATCCAGATGTTGTTCCAGAGAGACACAAGTCTCCCGCAGGGCCTTTCAGCCCCTATCTTGGATGCCTTGGGCATCTCACAGGGCACTGGATACAGACAACTGAAATTTAGGTCCTGAGAGCCAGGGCTGAGTCACCCCTGCACTTTCCCAGTGGCTCTAATTGCCATGAGGCCCCTGCAAACACAAAGTCTGTCCTCGACCTGTTCCTACCCAGCCCCAACAGCAAGTTTCCTTTCCTTCTACCAGGGACTTCTGCCAGGTAATTCTGGGCTCAGCGCCTGATACAGATAAGAATTTCATATCGGTATTGTCTTGGGATAAAACGGAATGAGGCAACCCTTGGTAATACTTGGAAGGAGAAACAGATCTCTAAAGCTCTGCAGAAGGAACGTGGCTTGTTTCTAATGTCACTGAGATCGCTAGCCCCTTCCTGAAGCAGTGTGTGTCTCTTGTTGTCATTCTTTTATTTATAACTGCCCATGTCAGCACTTGTCTTCACTGGCAGTTCATTTCTTTCTTCAACAGGGCTGCAAGGCAAAGAGGTCCCCTGGAAGAAGGACCTTCAGCTCTTTGACTGTTGGAAAGGTTAGTAGAGATCACAGTTTTGCTCAGGTTTGCACGTTGCCTGCATGCTCACACATACCCAGTGCTAGCTGGGATTGACACAGGGGGAACCACCAGCCTGAACTGTTGCTGTCACTTAAACTGTTGTCACCAAACAAGAAACCAGCCCCTCTGTTCGGCGTGAACATGTTTCATTCTGCCAAGAGGTTTTGGTTGGAAAGTTCAACCATCTCTAGAATAAAACTCAATTTCCATTACACCCCACAGGTCTTTAATATCCCTGCTTTTCTTCAGCTTTTGTTTTCACATTAATAGCAAAGATAACATCTCAAAACAAGGAGGCACTATCAGATTAATCTATCAGGATCTGAAATACGCAGCTATCTATCTTTCTTCACTTTAAAGTCATATGTGCCCATTTGCACAGAGGTACAATAAATCTTTTTCTTAACTATGAAACAGATTCTCTGCTTCTCATGTACTAACCCTTGGGGACTTGTCCATTATTTCCTTCTTTATCACTGGCCCCCTTTCAAGACTCTTTCTCAGCCCATTTCCCAGTTGTATATTTATTTTGCTCACATTCCACCTAAGGCATTACTTTTCCATTCTGATGATTTTTCTGCGCCTTGTTTTTTCTTCCCTTGCCAAAAAACCTCCTCGTTTAATTTCCTATTTAATATCTAGTGGATCTTAGTGGCTATATCCCAGCTAAACCCCACAGAAATCCCTCCCGGAGAATGCCTTCTCTCTCCTGCTGCCTGTTGGCGCTGCCTTTCCTGCCTGCACGCTGCGAACGCGGGAGCACAGGCTGGCCCCGAGCCCCGGCCGTGTCACAGCACCCCGGCCCTGCGCCTTTTGTCCCCGCAGAGGGCAGGACGGGGGTTCCTTTCGTCGATGCCAACATGTCGAACGGGCTCCATGTCTAACCGAGGGCGGCAGAACATCGCCAGCTTCCTCACCAAGGAGCTGCGTCTCCACTGGAGAACAGGAGCAGAATGGTTCGAATTCCTGCTGGTAAGAGCAGCCCCTCGCCTGTCTGGGGGTGTTTGGGTGACCGACAGGATCCGATGAGGATCCTCTGCCTCACACGGATACAGAAGGCGGTCAGTACTTTCCAGGATGGTATAAACACAGGTACACATTTATTTGCATTTTATGTATCTCCCAAAGCTCGTGTGAAAAAATCAAGGAGATTTGCTGCTGTGAAGTTGCCATCAACCAAGACGTAGGTGCAGCGAGGAGTCTTCCAATGATGTTTTTGTTCTTTCCTGTGCAGGGTTTCAAAACCCTGTCACACTTGAGAAAACTATAAAGCGTAAATTATCCTAACAATGCTCTGATTTGTTCACCCCAGAGGACAGTCCAGAAATAGAACACGAAAATAAGTGCATTTTGGCCAGCGAAGGCAATGCTGGCACAGCATCTTTGCATTGATCTCTCTGGACAGGGAAGTCTTCTAGCCAAGAACAGGCAAGTATTGACAATGGCTGGATTAGCTTCCAGAGGCCTCCACCCTGGCTGCAGGCAGCCTCTTCACCTCCATGAGTCAGGGGCCTCCTTGCCAACCCGAGCACCAGCTCAACGTGTTTCTCTTATGCCAGTCAGCAGTCACACAAGGTCAGATAGAGCAGGGCTGCTCCCTCATCTCTGGCCTTTATAGCTCTGTCACCAGAGAGTCTGAACAGCCTCCAGGTCACAGGCCTGGGCAGGAGAACAGCTCTGTGTATCTTTGCTTCTCTATCCCTCAGTGTTAGTAGCTGAGTTGTGAAAACTGATGCTGAGAAGCTGAAGTTCTTCAGCAGAATGGTACAGATGCAATGAGACCAAATGTTAGTGTCATGTTGGATTTCTGATCTGTGAGGTTCAAGAGGTTGATAATCAGGAGATTTTCCGGTCACTGATATGGTTAGAAGTATGAAGCCACTGTTTGAATTAAAAGATCCCTTTGGTTAATGTAACAGTTTGGGGCTTCCTTGGGACTGAGCCCTGGCTGCAGAGATCTACAGGGAGACTTGGCTACTCTTGCCATTGCTGTGACTCACATGTGTGCCCTGAGGAGCAGTGAGCTGCACAGTGTGGTCAGGGCTCCTCCAGGGTCCACCAGAAAGCAGAGTAGGTAGCTTCATGCTGTGGAGATGTTATCTTTTCCACATAGGATGTGAAGCACACAGCTCTACGTGGGGTGTCTTTCAGAGCCGTTACTGGCTCCATTTCACAGCTGGATGCCCGTGAGAGCAAGTCTCTTAGTCAAGGCCACTAGGGATCAAGAGTTGGGCAGCAGAAAGTGAAGCTGCACTCTGACCAAAGGGCAGTGTCACCTCCCTCACATGGGAGATCTGCTCACTTGACAGGCGGACCCAGAAGAACGTGGGAGCTTCCAGGTCTTCCTCCCCAAGTGAGAAAGACCTGGATGGTCTCATGCTGGAAAGAAGCGCCCTGGGCTGATGCTCTTGTTCATACAGGCATCAGCAGCCTTGCTGGAGGCCTGATCTGACTGTCTTTGCACGGGGCTTTTCAGAGAGCCCCAAGCAGCAGCTCACTGCTGCTCTGCAGGATGTCCTGGCACTGGCTGGTCCTTGTTTCCTTCTATCCCTCCCTTTCAGCTTTTGTCATTCTGATCCATTGCTGAACAGCTCCAGTTCCTTAACCTGGTTGCTCCCATGGAGTGAGGCACAGAAGGCAGCCCTGTGTGTGTGTGACAGGGAGATGGAGGGGTAGGAAGCACAGGTGGCACAGGCCCGAAATTGGGCTCCTGTGGCTCCACAAGGGGAAAACGATGCCTTTTCCATGTGTGATCCCTTCACCAAAGGCCCAAGGGGTGTTTGCAAGCGCCTGTGAAGACGTTTGCCATCCACCCAAGACAGGCACATGGACTAGGGAAGCTCTCCAAAACCTGCTAAACCTGAGGGAAAAGGCTGGATCCCTCTGCTGTCCCGAGCAGAATCCCTCTCAATTCTGACTTCATGCACAGGGTCAAGCGCAAGGAAAGAGGGGAAACAAAGAGCAGAGAATGGCAGGAAGGGGCAAGGCCGAGGGGGAAATGAGCCCTGGCTGCGTCTGCAAAGGAAGGGGCAGGGGGCCAGGCACAGCCCATTCCCCCGCGCCCAGGAGAGCCTCTGCGCTGGGAAGTGCCACCCCGTGCCCTGGCTGCTGCCACCGGGAGCAGAGGACACAGGGAGCTTGTGGAGCCAGGCCTTGCAGCCTCCTCATCCCAGGCTTTTGCAACGCGGACACCTCTCCTGGGAATCCCACATCCCGTTTGATACCACGGCTGTTCCCCTCCTGAGCCATGTTTGAATTGCCCTGTGACTGTCAAGCTTCTGCTGTTGGGTTTAAGCCTAACTGAAAGAGACTGGGCTGGGCTCTTCTCTGCCTGCTACAGAAACCTCTCTCCATTTTACACAATCTCTGAGAGTCTTTTATTTATTTAGACGTTAGAATAATTTGACCACATGGGTCCTACTGAGGATGTCACAAGAACTCTAGTGTTTCCATAGTAAAACTCTGCCAGATCCCAGTGTGTTGAAGTTCATGGCCTGATGAAGGTTGAGTGTAGCAGGGAAATGGCTGCTGTGGTGGTGCTGTTTGCATCTTCTTGCACTCGGTGTGGTCACTCCATATAATCTGAGTAAAACATTTCTCCAACCTGCCCAATAGGATCTGCAGAGTTGATTTTGCTAATCCCAGGCATCTGGGTAACAGCCCAGGAAGAATTTTTTTGCAGTACTTGAAATGCTCTGGGCTACTGAATCTGCAGTAAGAGCACTCAAAAGCTGCAGGTAGTCACCAAATGTATTTGAAGTCTGACACTTGATAGCAGAAGAGAAGGATTAAAAAAAAAAAGGAAAAAAAAAAAGGGAGAGACAGAATTTAGTTGGACTTCACCCATCTTGCTGGGTCCATGAAGTGAGATACGCTGTCCCCAGCTGTGCAAAAAGGCCATGCAGCCTGGTCCTCCTGATGGGCCTGTGCAGACCGCACAGACAGCCTGATGCCCTGCAGGCAGTTCCCCTTGGAGAGAAGGAGAGGACGGGCAGAAGGTCACCAAGGGCAAGCCCAGCTCCTCACAGCGTTTCACAAAGTCCCAGGATGGTTGAAGCTGGAAGGGACCTCTAGAGATCATCTAATCCAACCCCCTGCTCCAGCAGGGACACCCAGAGCACGTGGCACACGGCGGCATCCAGGCGAGTTGGAAGATCTCCAGAGCAGGAGACTCCACAACCTCCCTGGGCAGCCTGTGCCAGGGCTCTGGCACCCTCATAGGAAAGAAGTTCTTCCTCACATGGAGGTGGAACTTCCTGTGTTTCAACTTACGCCCGTTTCCCTTCATCCTGTCACCGGCCACCACAGAGAAGAACCTGGCCCCATCCTCCCTGCATTCTCCCCTCAGGTACTTGAACATGTTAATCAAATCCCCTCTCAGCCTGCTCTTCTCCAGATTAACAAGCCCAGCTCACCTAGTCTTTCCTCATATGACAAATGCTCCAGTCCCTTAATCATCTTCGTGGTTCTACGCTGGACCCTCTCCAGAAGCTCAATGTCCTCCTTGCACTGGGGAGCTCAGACTTTCACTGTTTCCTTTTGCTTAAGGTGGACTGTGACGTTTGCAGCAATTATGGCAACTGGCTCTACAGCGCTGGCGTTGGCAACGACCCCAGGGACAACAGGAGGTTTTACACGATCGAGCAAGGCCTGGATTTCGATGGCAGCGTAAGTCCCGTCTGGCTGCTTTACAGTGAGCAGCACCAAGGCACCACATGGGAAACACGAGCGCTTAACCAGAGTGCTTGTGTCAGACATGACGGGTGAGGGCAGCACTGTAAAGGGAAGTGAGTACTCTGCACAAAATAGCTAAATCTCAGTTTCAGGTCCCTTTTTGTCTCGCAGGGAGCACACAGGGGTCTTTTTATATTCATACGTGATAGTTCTAGGGAAGAGAGACCCATCTACTGTGTGGACAGGGCCACAAGAAAAGTGCTTTCGTCTTCTTGCCCACAGCCAGGCGGGTTCCTCCCTGCTGTGGGAAGGAAGATCTGATGTTTACGACCTGCTGCTGTCCCCAAAAGAGGGAGGTGCCACGTAAGCCCTTCTTGCCATTGGGCCATGTGGTTGGGCTTTCATCACCTCTTCTGGGTAGCAGCCGCATCAGTATCTCACGCAGCCGCTTCTTCGTACTCCGAAGCGATGGACGGGACAAACGAAGCCGCTCTCCTGGTGCCAAGAGAGGGACTGGAGATTAGATGAATGCCTGGGACGTCTGTGACTCACCTGTGCAGGTGGTGGGAACAGATAAATTGCTGTTTCCATGTGTTCAACTGCCTTTACCTACCAGGCTATCCTGCTATATCACAGTTTAGTCCTAGTTGGGGACAAGCAGTGGTGTTTATGGGAGACATTTAGGGGTGAGGGGGTTCATCTTGCCAAGCACAGAGGTGTGCGGCTGAGTCACCCTGCTGTCCTTCATGGTCACTGGAAAGAAAAAACATCTTGAAACAGCATCATTCTTGGAAAGAAAAAACATCTTGATAGTGACTTCATGTCACCCTGTCCCGAACAGGGCAGGTGAACCAAGCCGCCAAAGCACCTTGGCCTCTCTCCGTTGCCTGCAAAGGGAGTTGGGAGAAGGTCCCCAGCCTCAGAGTGTCTGTATTTCAGCAATAATTCTGTGTTGAGGGACTAAGGCCTGACTGAGGCAACTGAAGCAATAGCTTCCTCACCTTGAAATCAGGCTTTTTTCGTTCGTGTTGAGGAAGGCCTTTGCTGGGACACGTGTTTGGGTCTCTCCTGAGTGGATCCCGTCGCTGTGGTGCTGTTTGCAGGGGGATTACGTGCGGCTGTGGGTCCCAGAACTGCAGGAGCTAAAGGAAGGAGATATCCACACACCCTGCGCACTGAGCGGCGCCTCCCTCCCCCAAGCAGGAATAACCCTCGGCGAGACCTACCCGATCCCGTTGTGACAGCCCCGGAGTGGAGCAGACACATTGGCCCCAGGCCTGTGAGTGCTGGGAAGGTTTGGGGCATGGGGGGCAGGAGTTCAAGCAGCTGCTCCACATCTGTGAATTCCACTGTTCTTTTCAGATATAAAGGGAAGAAACGGTTTCATCCAAAGTCATGGAAGAGGCTGGTCCTGCTCTGCACAAGGACTGTGCAGCGAGGGTTATGCAGCTGTGCCTGTTCTAATGAACTAAACACACCCAAGGCACAGGCCTAAGCACTGACCTGCTGTGACACAGGCTGTTAAAGTGCCACCGTGTTTCCTGGCGCTGCTTCACCTGGAGCCAACCAGCACCTGCAGGACCATGCCCAGGCACAGCCTGAGGGTACCCTGTGCCGAGGACTGTCACAAAGGACAGGCTTGAGGAACCCATATGGACAAAAGCTGTGCCAGACTAGTTGGCTTTACAGCTAAAGAATGGACCCATCTTGCCCCATTTGCTATTTTGTGCATAGTTTTTATTACTCAGTTCCTTTTCCTCCTGCACATTCATAATGCCAGATATATCAGCTGTGTTGACTGGTGTAAATTTTAGCTGCTTCTTTGCCCCATTGGTCCTGCAGACCTAGCAGGGCTTAGACAGAGAGTACAACTCCCATGGCATCATTCCCCACATCCTCCATGGAATCATTCCCTGCCCTCCGGACACCACCAAGCCTGGGGTCCCCAGGACAAGCCCCAAAGGGTTGAGTATCTCTGAAGGCCTCCACTGGCTTAACCACCTCCTTGCACACATGGGCAGAAGGGAACCCAACGTGGTGCTCTATTCCCATTCCGTGTGTGTGGTGGGAAGTAAAAACAACTAACTCCCTAACTTGCATGTGTTAATGAAGACCAGTGAATGTGGGAACTGCAGCCCCTAGACTTCACTTTTTAGGTCCTTTAGAATGGTGGCAGATGGAGATGTGGATCCTGTGAAGTGCCAGGCATGTGTCAGGCGTGTATCTATTGTGAAGTTTCTTGGTGGAGATGGGTAAAGAAAAGTGCTCTGTCAGTCTCGGAGCAGTGGTGGTAGAAGGGAAGAAGGAAGGGGAGAATTGACACTATTGTGTATTTCAAGGGGTTTTCAGCATTTTGTCTTTCCCCACACATACTCCCTGTCTCCTCTCATGTGGGGATATTTTGTAGAGGCTGAGATTTAGTTCCGTGAAGAATGAAATGAGTTTCCATGTGGGGTTTTAATTCCACGGCCCAGTTCCAAAGTTCTCAGGCCAGATTCCTTTGACATGAGCAGGAATTTTTGCTGAAGTGAGGACATCCGCTTCCAGCCATGCTACCCAAGAGCCTGGATTATCATCCCCTGTTGAAGAGAGCATAGGAGAGCAGACAAATGACTTGGTGAAGGAACCCCTTGGGGAGACACCAGTTTGACGTAGTGATGAAAATCTGACAAGCCCTTTAGTTGGGCAGGAATTTCATTCCCATCCGCATCACCTTGGGCTCTGTGTGGCTTTCACTGCCACTCCATGCTTGTGAAATCCTAATGCTCTGGGTAGTACTGAGTACTGTAGTAGTACTCAGTAGTACTCAGTAGCTACTGAGGCCCCAAGAGGGACCTCCATCCCTGTCCCTTGAACTAAGTATCAAATAAGACCTATGTCCCTTTTTACTACTCTGGAGGGTAAAAGTGCCACAGGAACATGTTGCTGATCCCTACTGCCTCTGATCTGTGATCAGCTTTGCTCTTCAGCATCAGCAAATACCTCACCATTCATCCTTCTTTTGCAGCAGGGCTCTCATCCCAAAGGCAGGAAAGGACCCGCACACCCACCGATGCAGCACAAGGACAGGGGCATAGATTTTTACTTTTCTCGCAAGAAACATCTATGAGGAAGTCCTCACCAGAGAAAAGAATGGCAAATTTCCTTGAACCCCAGCTGTGCAAGAAGTAGGGCTGCAGTGAAGAGGAACCTGCCTCATAAATGTTTCCAGGAACATCAGCTGGGCAGAGATAGTGGGAAGCTCTGCATTAGCACTGACCATCATGATCTGATACTTTTTTTTTTTTTTTTTTCATTTCAGGGCTTAAATTGCTGCTGTGAGCTCTTAGCTAGCTTGCACTCCAGAAGTGCATGCTGAGGGTCTGGTTCCTGTAAATAATATGTCACTCTTGAGTCTGCGAAATGCTTTGGCTGAAAGGGGTTGTGTAACTCTCATTTAATTAACCAAAATGGTGTGGCCTTTCTGTTGTGAGGGTCTTTTTCCAGGCCCCTTTGCTTTGCAGTGGAGCTTACGGCTACTAAAGCTGAATTTCAACATCTTGTAGCATGCTGAAGAAGATGTGTTGTTTGTGGAGCTTTTAAGTGGAAATATCGGTAACTATTTTTCTCATGCTATATTTTTTTTCGCCTTGGAAAGCTTTAAGCACACTGACCACTGTGCAATTAAACTTCCACAACCGGAATATTTCATTTTCCTGATTCCCGCGGGCGCCGCAGGGATCCCATAGAGGCAGCGTGACACTTCAGGGACTGTTTGCGCATTGCGTCATCCACAATGCTTCGAAAAACAACAACGAAAAGTTAAAGTTTTCCTTGAAAACGGGTGCGGAGCCACTGAGGCACGCGGTGTTTTTTGGGGGTCGTTCTCGGAGCCGGGCGCTGCGGGGAGGCGCCGCGGCCGCCTCAGCGGGGCCGGCGCGGGGCGGAGC